GTCTTTTGTAAAAAAAAAAGTATGTAATATTATATACAAAATTGTTGTGAGCGTTTTGTAAGTAGTTAATGAAATACTACGTATCATGTATATTTTGAACAAAGCCTTCGCAGAAATGTTGTTCATCCTACATCAATATTTTAGAAATACATTAAAAATATTGATCTAATTAAACTTCATCCAAATGCATATTTCTCAAAACAGTTTTATGAATTATGAACAAATCAAGGTTGTAATTCATATGTATTTAGCTATGTGTTAGATGAGCATCAATGCTAAGAACATTTAGGAGATTCCCACTTGGTGAGAAGTCCTAGTCTAATGTACGCCACTAATTAATTATAATTATAAGAACCATTAATAATCAGTCCAAATAGTCAGTTTACTATTTTGATTAAACAATCGGTCCATTAAGTTTACTTTTTTACACTATGCAATCATCCAAAAAAAAGTGACAAATTTGTCCTAGTATTATTATCTTCAAGAATTCATTTGAATGTCTTCTCGATTGAAGTTTTAGTTGAAATTTGGTATGGGTAAACTAGACTTAATGAATAAAATGCTCAAAAAATTCATCAAAATTTCTACCGAGAACCGCCTCAAATGACGACGGCCGGACAAAGCCTTCTATATAAGGACTTATTTGATCCTTTTATGTAAGTTCTATGGTACACCCGGCTGTACCTTCCTCTTGGTACAGCCAGGTAATTTTGTAATAAACTGCAACTTCTATCCTCTTTATTTCTTCTTTTTCCCTTTGTTCGCTTTTTCCCTTTGGTCGTCGTCTCGCAGCTTTCATCTTCTTCCGCGGATTGCTTCTTAGTAGCAATGCCATAGATTTTGTTCTTCGATCGGTTCTTCCGGTCCTTCTTCTGTTTATTTGTTATTGATCTTCCCGGTTTTCTTCTGCAGCTTTCTCCATTCGTAGTTTCGATTTTACTTCACTGATCGATTTAGGTAAGTAGTTTTCTTTGCCGTTTTACATTTATATGTTTTTTCCTTCTTTCGTTTCAAATTCTTTTTTGTTTCATCGAAGTTATCTTTTCCTGTAATCATCTTTATTTTTACTCAACTTATTTTTTGGTTGTATTGTTATACGTTGTCGCTACTGTTATAACTATTATAAGTTGTTTCAGTTCAATTTTTTTCTGTTTTAGATTCTTATCGACCATATGGCTGATTTTGGAGGTACTTATTCTATGAACTAATTCATTACATTAGTTGATATGTTTTGAGTATTTAGTTGATCAGTTTTGAGTTTACATTTGTTTTGTTTGTTTTGTTTTTACTCTGTGCAGATTGTATTTCTCCCCGTGGAAGATTAATTGAGGATATAGATTCTGGAGGCGGAATTGTTGGCATTCAATCCAGTAATATACTTTCTAATTGCAACTCATACATTTTGTTCTTCTTTAATCAATCTGTTTATATTTTGAGTTTTGTTTTGTGATGTTCTTGTAATGTTTTTCCATTCATCTAGATTTCTTGGATTCTGCTGTTAATTTCAGTGAAGACCAAAATCTTGTTTGTGCAACAGAATCTCTTTCTTTCGGACCAAGTATTGCTCATTTCTTACGTACATTGTTTCCCTTTCTTTTACTTGAATTTTATATCTTTAGTTTATTTTACCTTTATTTATTTATTGCAGCTGAACGTTCATCTAGTTTTGAGACTGTACAAGTTTGTCATGATCCTGTTTCTGTTGAAACCATATCAGTGAAGGAAGCTGAATTTTCTGAGTTGCTTGGTATAACTGTATTTTCAGAGGAAGAAGCATTTCAATTGTATAATGATTATGCTTTTCGGATTGGTTTTGGAGTTAGGTACTCTACTTTGAGAAAGAGGGATGGTGGTTCTGGCTTTAGGGGAAGGGAGTTCTGCTGCACTAAACAAGGCTTAAAAAAAAATAAAGGCGTTGTTGGGAAGCAATTCACAAAAGTTGACATTCGTACTAATTGTAAGGCACGAATTTATTTTGAGATAAAATCTAGCGGTGAGTGGGTTGTTGTCAGACACCTTATGGACCATAATCATCAGTTTTGTCCAAACTCATTAGTTCATCACGTTAGATCTCATCGTTCTATTTCTTCTAATGAGTTAGATTACTTGCATCATTTGAAAAAACAAGGAGTCAAGATAGCTGATGGATTTCGATGTTTGCAAGCGGAAGCAGGTGGATCTCCTTCGGTTGGTTTTCTCTTGCGTGATGCATATAACGAATTGACAAAACAGGTCAAGAAATCTTTTGATGGTTCTGATGCCAATACCCTGATTAACATCTTTAAGAATAGGCAGTCAAATGAAGAAGATTTCTTCTTCTCTTTTGAGATAGATGTGGATGGTTCTTTAGTCAGTTTCTTTTGGAGAGATAAAAAAATGAAGGAAGATTATCTATCTTTTGGTGAGCTAGTTATTCATGATACGACCTATCGTACTAATAAATACGATATGATATGTGTACCGTTTGTAGGAATTAACCATACATGCATGTTTGGTTGTGGATTTCTTCTCAATGAAAGAATTGAATCTTTTGAATGGCTTTTCACTACTTTTCTGAATTCAATGGATTTTGTGCATCCGAAAACTATTATGACAGATCAGTCATCCGCCATGTCTGCTGCAATAGTTAAAGTCTTTCCTTCTTCAAGGCATCGTCTTTGTATATGGCACATAATTGAAAATTCTAAAAAACATATACGAGATTTGAGGAATGACGAAGGCTTTTTGGCTTTATTTGATCATGTTTTGAAACTCTGTCAGACTGTTGCAGAGTTTGATCATTATTGGAATAGGTATTTTTCATTGTCCGTATACTTCCTTTTATGTTTTCTGCATTTACAGTATACCTTCTTGTTGAGCAAACTGCTTATCTGTAATGAGTAATAGTGTTTTTTAAATGAGTATTTTGCTTCATATTTTGCAGGATGGTTTGTGAATACAATTGTTCTGATAATCCTTGGTTGACCAAACTGTACGAGATGAGAGAGAAATGGTGTCCAGCTTTTTCCAAACAGTTCTTTTCTGCTGGAATTTTGTCTTCACAACGAAGCGAGTCCACGAATAACTCAATATCTAGAAAACTGAATGCAAACTCGTGTCTTTGTGACTTCTACCATTTTTTAGTGAAAGTGTGAGTCAATGGAGAAGTAATGAGGGTAAAGATCAGCAACGTTGTTGGGATGGTTTTCCGGAAATTGCCATTCCTTTTGTTGGTTTGTTACATAAAGCCTCCAAGGTCTACACGATTGATGCGTATAAACTGTTTGAGAAAGAATTTCTACGAGGTATGTCCCTGAAATATGAACTTAGACATCAACAAGGTTCTTTGATGTCATATTTGGTATGGATGCCTCAAATAGATATATTTTCACATTGGGTTTCTTTTGATATGACAACACATTTTGTTAAATGTTCATGTGAGAAATTCTCAGAAGTTGGTATTTTGTGTTGTCATATTCTTCGTATATATCATATTCACTGTGTAGAAGTTATACCGGATTGTTATGTTCTGAAACGTTGGACGCGTAGTGCAAAGTGTGTTCCAACTGAACAAATATATGCCTCATCTGGGACTTCTAATGTTTTACCTTCTGTTTGGAGAATGCAAATGCAAAAGAAATTTCACAAGCTTTTGTGCTCTAGTGATTCTAATTCTGCAGCAAGGCATTTTTGTGAAGAATCTTTTACAAAGTTGAAAGTGGATGTTGAAGAGCAAGTTGGAAGTATTTACTTTTCAGATAGTGAATCTTCTACAGTTGGTTTGGGTTCAGCAATATCTAATCCAAAGTCTTCAAGGAAGAAGGGTGAAAGAAATGTTCGTCGCAAGAGTCTTATTGAAATCAAAACAAATCAAGCTAGAGCAAAGAAGAAGTCACGCCAAGCTAGTACATCTGAAACTGATCAAGCAAATTTGTAGTTTGATTTTTCCAATAGCTATGTAGTAATACTGTTATATTCACTAGTTTACTAATGACTGGTGTCATGTTTTTTTATTACTCAACATTTTTGAGTTGATGCTCAGACCGTAGCTGTATGTTAATCATTTAAAATTACGCTTTGGAATATTATAAATGTTCTCTGAAATATGAACCTTAACTTCCAAGGAAGGAACAAGTCAACTGCAGCTAGTACTTCGAATATTGAACCTTGAAATGTGTAAACATTCTTAAAAGCTTTGTTTTTTATTTACATACTTATTATATTATTCAAAAAATAACATCTTTTATCTTTTATCATCATTTTAGTTTCAGTTGTTTTCACTTTTAGACTTTACATTTTGTTCCTCTATGTTTTTGTTGTAGTTTTTACTTTTTTGTAATAATACATTCCTCTGATCTAATCTTCTTTTGAGTAATTATTTGTGCTATAATGAGTACCACGTGTTAACAAAATGAGTATAGAAGTAAATATAATTTTTTAGTTAATGCATTTTGAATGCAAGACTCACTAAATTATGTGTTTACTATTTCAAATTAAATATAATTTTTATAAGAAAATTTGTATAACGTAATTTCATACTTAATTAATTAAATGAGCATTTACGCTACTAATAATGAGTATTAATATAAACTTCATAAATACAGATGTCAGCAATCAATATTACAATCATCATGAATGTGTATAATTACTATTTCGCAATGAACACAAATATATACATATTTTTCCCAAAAAAACTTTAAATTATCTATTTCATTTCGTAGTGAAGACTCATACCATTATAAATACATTACGAATAATTGGAAAAAACACCCCGCACTGTTTATTTAATGAATTAATACATTGTCTTACTTTCACACTCAAAGAATTTAAATTTAAAAGCTCACTCCTTAAAATTTTGTATAAGTAATAAATGAATTGAGAATAGTACTTACTAGTAATTATCATTAATACCTTAAAATGTGTATAAGTAAGCAAGGAAATGAGCATAGAACTTACTAATAATGATCAATAATATGAACTTCCCATAAGCATGTGTCCTTATTTAATATTACTAACATGACTACTGTCATCCAAGCTTAATAGTAATATCATATGTCCCAAATACTAATATTGTTTAGCATGAATTAAAAAACAACAATATGTTCATCAACGCCCACAATCATCAATAGCATTACAAATCTTCTAGATATACACATTGTGTTTCTTCACTTGTTCCATGATGTTCTTCTTGATCTCATTCTTATCAGATGTTACTATTGCATGCAAGTACTTAATCCGCAGCATCTCAATTGGTTTTTCCTGTACAAACATTATAATTTAAATATTCAAGTTTTCACATAATTATTGTGTTTGAAAACTATATTAAACAATTTTGGACTTACACTTTGTTTATCTAATCCACACTCCCATGCTGTGTCACCATAAAATGTCTCCATGTGCCTCATCAAATAAACTCCCTCATTGGTTTTGTTTTTCTTGTTTCTCCAATGCATTTTAACCACTTCTTCCTTCAGCTTCACAACCTTATCTGCCTTTGGGTGTTTTTGATCTCGAAGAAATTTCACAAATCCACTTCTCTGTAGTTAAAAATTTCAAAAACAGAATTATACATATTCTTATGTTCATGCACATATTGTCTATGTAGTTGCTCAATTATCAAGTGCACATTACTCATATACTAAATCATCACATTATTTATCCATATGTGATAAAATAAAAAAGAAATATATAAAACGTTTACCAGGTATGACATTTGAAACAAGTACTTGACTGCAGGAGCTATATCTCCGTCGCTACTATCAATGATGTTGTTGGTCCCAGTTTATGCAGACTAACGATCAGCTAGATGAGCATCATCGATAAACAGAAGAGAAAGATTTCATATAATGATATAAGATTTATCGAGAACAGTGAAACCTTCTTTCTGTTGTATCGAGAAGTAAATTTGGCAGCGTAAGGCTAATGTGTATTGATCGATATCGGTACCTGTACACAAGGCGCGTATTTATAGGCGCTGTACAGGTTACCGATTTAGGTAAACCTTGGTAGTTGGGCCAAGGCCTTTTTGGGCCTTATTCCCTTTACCTTATTTGCTACATAATAAATACTAATCTAATACCATAAATGGTATAACTAGTCTACTTTATTTAAACAAGACATTACAGACAAACTTGACCCACAATAAAAGTTCTAACAATCTCCCCCTTTGTGGTCAAGTGCCGTCTTGCTGGGTTTCTTCACTTCTGAGCTTTGTAATAGTTCTTTCTGAGATTAAGCGCGTGCTCATAGTTTCTGAGTGAATTTCTTTTATCAAGTTGTTTCTGGATAGCCTGTAGAATTCTGTCTATTCTGTGTGCTTCCTTTAATTCGGCATCTGTCGCATCTGCATACTGTTGCTGTCTTTCTTTGAATGCTTCTCTGATCGGTTGCAGCTTTTCTTTCACAACCTTCAGGGTTCCGTCACAGTACTTGTTGATTTCATCAATGAATAGCATACGTTTCTCACCATTATGATTTAGATAGATAAGCGTGATTGGTCTATCAAAAATGTAATACTCAGGGAAGTCCTCAAGTTCTTGTCCATACAGCTTTGGTTTTGTGAGATTTGTCTTTGGCATGTTTGTTTCAAGCGCCATCTGAAGATCATGAGAGGCAAAGAATTTGATTTGTCTGAGCATAAAGCGCTTGAGTGCATCCAGCCCATTTTGTGTAGTTGTGTCACGAGTGCCCGGAATTTCTTGAAATGCAAGATACATCTGATATATGTCATCCATTTTTAGCATATAGAGATCATTTTCCTTGCACGTGAATTCTGTTCCGTCAGACCGTTGTAGATGGTAAACAGAGAGTTTGATGTCTTGGGAGTTTGTTTCACCCACGTTGAGAATAGCCCAGACTGGGTCTTTGGCAGTTTGAAGTTCGTGCTGCCAGACTTCTCTCTGTTGTCCCATATAGTGATGACTGAGTAGAAATAGCTGTCCGCCCTTGTTTTGTCCTCGTAGATGGTTAAGACCACAGATCTTCAGTTCATCCAGTTCTCTGACCTTATCCTCTTTTCGCCAGATGTTTTCTCTGATTTCTTCTTGAAAGGGGGCGTTGATGTCGATCTTTTCCCAGGGCTTCTCATTTCTGGGCATTTGAGCCGCTGTTTGTCTAATGATTGACTCAAGCTCCTTGGGTGGTGTCTCGTAGTTTTCTCCCTCCTTGAGTTCGTTTCGATCAAGTAGAATCACGTCAGTAGCGCAGTTGACTAAGAGATCTCTGAGGTATGTTCTTCGCTGTGCTTCATCTACATCTGTCCAGAGTTCAGACCATTTGTTATGCACCAGCATTTCCTCAAGTTCATCGTGCATTTGATCATTGTAGTAGCTGGAGGAAGCCTGTTGCTGCTGTGGAGACACGTCTGGCGTAGCATCGGGATCCTGGTGAGACTTGCAGGGATCCTCAATTATCTCAACACGATGCTCTTGCGCAGAGACCAGACCTCTATACTTTGTTACATGCAGCCAATCCTCCCTTGGTTGAGACTGGGTGACTCCGGGATCCTCAGGATTGCCCGTTGACATCAGTTTCGAACTAGGTTCTAACTGATGGCCTGAGTAAGAAGATGTACTCATGGTAGCATCATCAGGACTTCCATTCCGTCCTTGGTTAACATCTACAGGAGATGTACCTCGGGATGTTATGTCTAGCTCGACCATGCTAGAGAGAGTGGCTAGGGATTTATGGCTAGCTGAAGTAGTGGGTTGCTCATTGGTGGAGGTGGAGGGTTGGTTTGGCTTTGAGGGTTGGCTAGTAGAAGCAACATGCTCAAGTAACCGCGGGCGCTTGTTCTCCCCCTCATGAGAATCCGAATCATCAGGATCCTCATGTGAACGTTTAGCGCCACGGAGACTGTCACGGCATGTGTTCTGTGTATCTAGAGCATGGAGAAGGGCTTTTTGAAGAGGGGTGAGGTTGCCTTCTTCCACGTCTAGTATACGGTCGTAGATCTCAGCTACAAGATCCTCGAAGGGTACGGTTGTTAGGTTAGGTTTGGTCGTTGTAGGGGAGAATACTAGTTCTGTATCCTGGGTTCCCCTTGATGTGGATGGTTGTTGGTTTTCTATGGTTAAGGGTTTGGAAACAGGTATGGAAATGGTTGGGGGCTGTGTTGTTTGGGGTTTGGATGGTATATTCTGAACAACTGGGGTACTTCCAGAGTCTTGTGCATTAGCGGTTATTGCTTCATGCACCCATGGCTTAATGGTAGACTCTAGAAAGCTATTCAGATATACGAGAATGTCTTCGGGGATAATGGTACCAGTTACAGGGGTTGTAACTGTTGTCACAGCATCAGTGAAGACAGCTGATGTGTGGCCTGCGTTCAATGATCGAGGCATTGTTGGCGTAGCAGGGCTTCCGACCATCATAGTTTGCACTCCGGTCGTTGCATTCAGGGTGAGTGCACCTGTATGTGCAGTGAATAGTGTAGGTGTCCTAGAAAAATTCAAAAATATAGGAATGGTGACACCTAGACTCGATGTGATAGAACGGATGGGGGTAGTGGTCCGGGGCTGTTGACCACTAAGTCTCTCAGCAGATTCGGAAGGAATCAGTGAGGTCGGTGTAAGTTCCCCTTGAGATATTGAAACTCCAGTCTGTTGGGAGACTGGAGAGTGGATGGGAGATGGCTGTGCATGCGCAGTTGAACCGGATGCTGCGACTTCTACCCGGGAACTGACAAAGTCAGCTCCTGCTCCTAGGGGCATGGTTCGGTCTATGGTGACGAAGGTGTCACAGTCATCGTACAATGCCAGCTCCTCTTCCACTGCACTCTTCTTCCTTAGCCTCTTCTTAGGCTGTGATGATGCAGATTTGTCGCTTTTCTGCTTTGAGCGCTGCTCACTTATGATAATGCCTTTGAGCGGTCGAGGTGTTAGAGCAGCCTCTATGTTTTCTGATGAGGAGTCGGAGTCAATCGGAATGGCTCTTTTTCCGGCTCTTTTCCTGTTGCTGATCAGGACTCCCTCCATGTCATCATCATCATCTCTTCGTTCATTCCCTTTGGCCATGCTATCGGAGGCCTCACCACCAGCCTTATTAGAAGGGGCCTGGCCTGATGGTTCATCGGCAGTGTCCTCAGCATTAGGGTGGCCCTCAGCAGTCTGGGTCCTCTCGGAAGAGTTAGCAGACTGATCATCATTAGGCCGGGTTGCCACTGGTTTCTGTGGTGGGGCTCTCTTCTTCTTACCCTCACTCGCTCTCGGCTTGGTTCCCGGGGAAGGTCCAGCTGGGTTTTGCTGAACCATAGGAACCGTTCTCTTCAACGACTCTTTGTAGTCAATGACTGCCTTATCCCTAGGGTTTGCTAGGTCAAGCAGGGAGTCCGGAATAGGCAGTGCTTCAGCTTTATTGCTGTTTCTCTGAAAGTACTTGAGCTTGGGCGCAGTGAAATGCTTGTCCTCCTTACGCTTTGGCATTGAAGGGGTGGCTTCCAACATATTGTGGATCATCAGCGCCAGCCACCGAGCGTAAGGGATCGTGTTGCCCTTGTTGTTCTCCTTCATCTTGACCTGGTCCATCAGCTCTGTCCAGAAGAGCTGTGCCATGTCGTACTGTTTGTCAAATGCGATCCCATGGAAGATTTGTAGGATCTGCTTGTTGCACTTGTCATGTCCGGCGTGCTTAGGAGACAAGCATTTGTTGACCAGGCCGAACAGACTCTTCCATGGGTGGGGCAGATTAGAGATAGTGAAGTTTGACAGCAGGGGCAGTGGGCTGTCGTATCCAAGATCTTTCATCCCCTTGATCAGCTCTTCGTTTGAGGGGAGTGGTGCATAGTTTTTGAGCACTGGGAGCTTCAGTGTCTCCCTGATTGTGGAGGGTGTCAGCACCACTCTCACATCATTTAGCTTGGTCATTATCTTCGACCTGTCCTTTTCTGAGGCTGTGTGCATCAGACCCCAGAACTGTTGTAGATATACCTCTGGCACTGGTTTGGCTTCGTTGAATGCAGACCAGAGGTAATGCTTCTGTAGAATTGAAAGTATCACTGGATCCTGGCATTTGAAGAGTTTGAGGTCCAGTTGAAAGTTGTTGTCGTGCAGTGGGACCCACTTTTCCTTCGGGTATACTGCATTGCTAGGCTGTGCAGTTCTGTCTGTTCCTGACATTTTTAACTGAAAGAATTGGGTCAGCACAAATGTACATTTGAAAATTTTATTTGTTCAGATTTGCAATTTTTCAGATCAGGTGTGTACAGGTGGGACCTCGAGAAAATCTCTGAGTGTAACCACGAGAACCAACTTCTCGAGGTTTGATTATCGAGAAGTAGGTTCTCGAGGTTTAAATACCGAGAAGCTCTTCTCGATACTCAAATATCGAGAACTTGGTTCTCGATATGGAAGTATCGAAAAGTCCTTCTCGAGATTTAAACATCGAGAACCATCTTCTCGAGGTTTAGTATCGAGAACCTCTTCTCGGTATTTCCAACTTCGAGAAGTAGGTTCTCGGTATTAAACATCGAAAAGACTCTTTTCGAGGTTTAATATCGAGAACCGAACCTCGAATTTTGAAGTATCGAGAAGTTGATCTCGAGTTCTAAACGTCGAGAAAATTAGTTTCTCGAGTTCGCACTCAGAGTAATGTCGAGAACCACCTGCAAATTCATAAAGCACAATGATAATCAAATTAAAACTTTTCGACTTCAAGTTTCCAAGTTCGAAAATGACAGTTCTCGAGATCCAACTTCGAGAAAGACTTTCTCGAGTGAGATTCGAGAACTAGTTTTGAAGTATGAAAATCATTTAGAAGTATATTTGAAACCC